ACCCACTGGATTGGCTAGAATAGAGTCAGTAACTAATGTTGGCAAGTATGTGAAGACACTGAAACCCTCATACACTGCTGATAGAAATGTAAAATGATGCAACTGCTTTTGCTTTGGAAAATAGTTTAGCAGTTCTTCAAAAAGTTAGCGTAACCATATACCAAATTAACTCCACTCTTCAGTATACACCCAAGAGAAATGAGACATATACCCACATAAAAACGTGTACATGAACATTCATAGCAGCATTAATTTATAATAGCTGAGAAGTGGAAATAACCCAGTGTCCATCGATATACAGATAAAGTATGGTATATTCATACATGGAATATTATCAGCAATAAAAAGGAATGGGTACTGACACATGTTATGGCTTGGTTGAATCTTGAAAATATGCTAAGTGAAGGAAGTCAGTCACAAAAGTCCACATAGTGTGTTCCATTTATATATATCACCTCAAAAATGCAAATCTATAGCCAAAAAGTAGGTAATTGCTGAGAGCTGGGTGTGGGGTTAAGCTGCTGAGAGCTGGGGATTAACTGCTAATGAGTACAGGGCTTCTTTTAAGGTGGATAAAAATGTTCTAAAATTAGATTGTGATGATTGTTGCAGAAAGTTGTCAAAGTACTAAAAAGAAAACCTGGAATTGTACACTGAGCAAATTTAATAGTATGTGAATTACATCTCAATAAAGTTTTTTAAAAAAATAGGCAAAGGCTGAAAGCAGGTGTGTATATAGAAGATATAGAAAAAGATGCAGAAATGAAAAAGTATTTGATCACTTTAACTCGTGATTATAAACCTAAAAACGAAAATGTCTTAACGGCTATGGAGTTAAGACAGTGGTTGTTTCTTCAACAAAATTATTTGCTGTCAGTTATCAATTAATTATTCATGTATTGCACTGTGATGATGCAAGTATAAGAACCAGAAAGTAATAAAAAGGTAGAATCTATTAGCGATGTATTTGAAATCTAGAAACAGCACTTGTATGTTCCAGATTCATCCATGACAACTGATGCATAGTTACATTCCGAAGACAATGCCCTTACTGGGTATACACACCATCAAAACTATGAAAATAAGAAACACATATTTGGGTTTACTATTTCATTATTTTAAGTTCTAAAAAAGTTCCTTACTATCCTTTTTTTTTTTTTCAGTAAGTTATTCAAAAAAGTAACGTAGCAATGCTTTTTAAAAATGGATCTACTAGGCACAGACAGAAATGCTATTATTTTTCCTGAATATAGATACTGGTTGAGACAATTTCCTTTGAATATTTTTACTTACGTTCTCATCTCCTCTAACAACTCAGTGTTGTCTTTCCCCAACTCAGGCATATAAAACTGTTAAGATGTCTTTTTTTTTGTCTAAACTCTTTGGGCATCCTTCCCTTTATAAAAGCAGTAAGAGGGGCAACTGTTTGGCATTTTCCAAATTTTGTTAATTCAAAACTATTTCAAGAGCTCTTTAAAAAACTCAACTTAAAAAATCTTGTCAAATCGTAAGTTCAGACTTCCTAGGTTAAACTATGCATGAGTAAAATTTGTTAATAAAAATGTCACTGTATCTTAGTCCAGTCAAGCAGCCATAACAAAATACCACAGACTGAGTAGCTTATAATCAACAGAAATTTATTTCTCAATTTTGAAGACTGAAATCCAAGATCAAGGTGCCAAGATGGTCAGATGAGGGCCCTCTTCCATCTATCACAGACTTCTCTATGTATCCTCACATTGTTTAAGAGGCAAGGGAGCTTTCTTGGCCCCGTAAAGGGATTAACTTCATTCATGAGGGCTTACGCTCAGGACCTAATCACCTCTCAAGGGTCCCACCTCCCAACATCATCACAATGGGCATTAGAATTTCAATGTATGAATTTTGTGGGGACATAACACATTCAGACCATAGCAAATGACTTTGTACGTTTCTGGTAAAAAGAAAAAAATTCCTGTTACTGTACAGACTGATACAATAACTGTCTACGAAAAGATATACTTTATAAACTAAATGACAATCACTGTCCGTAATGTCTCGTAGTTAATTATAACTTATATCAATCTTATAAATTAATTGTGCTCCACCTCAGTAGTAGATTCCACTCTCCTCCATTCTACAGAAACATTACTATCTTTAACATCCTCAATCTTCAGCAAATTTAGTCTTCTGGAAGAGACATCAGAGAAAAACTGCCCTCAATGAAAAATTAGCTCAACAGATATTATACAACTAGCATGGCAATAAAACTCTAAGATACTGATTCTGGATTCATTTTCCCCAACTAAATCACAAATATCTTCTCCAGACAGCTGGACCACCACTCTATCGTTACGTCCTTAAACCTGGGATTCTTAGGAATCCTCCAGAAGCCCACATCTTTGGAGGAAAGCTACTCACCAAGACCCTCAAGTCAAGCAGATGACAACAAAAAAATAGACAGCTTCTGCCCAAAGCAAAAAAAGGTTCATTTTCTGATACCTTTGCTCTTTTTCCTTCTTTCGCTTATTTTGGTTTGGCATTTCCTAAAGATCACCCAACAGGTTTCCTAATATACTGTTATATCTTTTTCATTTTACTCTTAATCCGCTATGGTCTCTATTGGTTACTTTAAGAAATGCAAACATTTCCAGCAATTTTCTCAGACCGCAGCAACTCTGAATCTGTTGAATTCCGCTGTAAAAGATTTAATAATCATCCCTTTAAATTCCTGGGATCAATTCCATCCCAAAGATTCCTTCTGATATTTGAATTTTCTTCATATCATTTGCCCCAATCTTCATCCTTATAAAAACTAAAACTCTTCTCCAAGTTAACAAAATGCTTATGTTATAATCCTTATGGCACTGTCCCAGAACCAAGCTCACCACAGGAAGGAGCAACACTGGAGCCAGTCATTTTCTCCTAAGACTTTCCAGATTTCCACGCAGGAACTGAACTCTGAGAATGTACTCACCTTAAGGAAACAATTATTGGCTCATCCCTGCTATAAAATATATTTATATTCCTAATATCATATGCAGCTGACCAGGGATTACTTATGTCAACAGCAGGCTTTCATCTACCTCTTAAACTCAAACACATCTTATGTGTTTAAAATAATGAAGAGATGTTCAGATATTTAAAGCCCTTTCCTCTCCTGTGTAGTTTTTCTTGAAAAGGATAACTAGAAGCTTCCAAAATGAAGCATATATTGGCTACTCCAGAGGACCCTCAGAAGAAATAAGTAACTCACTTTATGTATACTATGCAAGACTACCTATTCCAACAGCAAGAATACTACAACTAAAAAAGGTGGTCCAAATTTTAACATCCTCTGCTATGGAAGGTGGTTCTAGTTTTGACTCACTCTCTGCTGTGCAAGCCCAATAAACCAGTTTACATTCACCACCCAGAACTGTCATGGAAAATCACACACACAGCATTTTATTACCTCTCAGCAAGCCAAGTAACAGTTTGTATTTAGCACTTCCTGTTGTAGCTCTATGAAGATAACTAGATATATGGAAGAGTCTTTGACTAGGCTAAAGGAAAATTAGACTGGACCCAGATGGACTATGGGACATGTTATTGTATCGAGGGTTCTGGCTTTGCATTCTAGTAAATAAATAATCATTCTGCTTCTATTAATTTTATTACAGTTGGCTGATGCATTTTGCACAGTCTTAAGTACTGCTGTGTAGCCACTGTCAAGTTGCATGATTCATCAATGGCCAACCATTTTTAGCATAAAGACTTGAAGCTAATGACTACCATCGAATATTTGACACATAGTAAATAGCAATACAAATCTGAATTGATCGTAACTCCAGAAGATAATGGTCTATCCTTTAACTTAGGCTGAGGAAAGACCAGAAGGGAACTGGGAATTGAGAAAGAAAGTACATTGAAAGAGAAACTACAATTTGCAAAAATATACAACTTGCAATATGTGTAAGTCTACCAAACTATAACAATGCAAAATATAACCTAACCTCAAATTCTTAACACCAGCTCAATCAGATACATGTTTCAAGACCACGTACTGACCTAACAATAATCCTGCATAGGTTCAAATGTTCTTAAAGAGAGTGACTCTACCAGCAACTCTCTACTTGCCAAATTTTTACCAATCTCTGCTAAGATAACCCAAAACTAACTGCAGTCCCAAGGTCCCAAACTCTTGTATGTACCCTTCCTTTGGTGTCACTGCACAGTTTACACACACACACACACACACACACACACACACACACACACACTCACTCTCCCTCTCTCTCTCCCTCTCTCTCTCTGTTTGGTACAGCAAGCTAATAAACCTAGCTTTGACTACAGGTGAGATCCTGGTGGTTTTGGTCAATGGAAGTCACCAGTGCAAATGAGTCAGAGTTCCCTTTTGAATGAGACTCAACAGCTTTATCTCCATACACAAGGTAATGAATCCTATATTCTTAACACAAATGTCTAACAACATTGCCAGTATTAAATAAAATCTCATCAGTGTTAACCTTGGGAATTTTGTTAAATAAATGCATATGTATGAATTTGCAGATATAAAAAACTGACAACCAGCCTGTATTAACTAAAAAAAATAAAGCCTCTAATCTTAAGCAATACTAACTGAAAGTTATTTCTCCATATGTAAAATTATGTATTTGATATTTTAAAAAATTCCCCCAAATTTTGACATGGTTGGTTTTTAACTATTCTAACAATCTAGTATAAAAATAAATAAAAGATTATAAATGCAATGGTATTTGACACTATCATTTTAAATATGTTTTCTTTTTAAGTAAAAAATGAATTGTAGCCAAAACAAAATGTTTTGCCTCTGAGTAGTATTTGAAGCATAACGGGAAAAAGTCACTAATGAGAAACATATTTTCATTTTCAATGTTTTTAATTTTTTATAAAGATTTTAAATATGCTTCAAAGTCACTAAGCAGTTTTGAAACTTAGGTTTCATGACCCTTTTAATTTCATGCTTTTAAATGAAGTCATTATCTTCAAAACATGACAAATTTCAGAAAGCTTTAAAAATTATTTTATTCAAATTATGTTTTCCAAAAGAGAGGGTTCTGTGCCAGTCGTCTTTGAAAGTTTTCATACCTACAAAAGGAAAAAAAAAACATTTATAAGAAAATTATAGTTTTTCATAATTTTCTAAATGACTTATCAAAAAGCAAACAATTTTACATGCCATTTCTAAAAAGCTAAGAACTTAAAAAGCTAGAAAGTTAATCTGAAAGTTTAACTATTAATTTATAAGAAGATAGCAAACAGTGATTTAAGTAGAACCGGCTTGTATCAAAAAGCACAAATCGTAATAAATTTTATTGTTTATCTTCTGCAAATCGGAGAGCTAGAAGGGACCTAAAGAAAAAAATATCAAATCTAACTCTCCTTTCCTCATTTCACAGCTAAGTATATACTATTCAATATATTATAAACAATTATATAATATATTAAATTATATAATATATTCAAGGTCAGATAGCTACATTGTAACAAAGCTCAAACCTAATACATTTCAGCGCTATTCATGCTTAACCATGCTCCAGCTTCTCAATAAACTCTCCCCATGCATTCCCCCACCACTGGAATAGTCTAAGTGGAAAGAAATATCTAGAAAATGAAAACACGGGAAAGCTGGGGAAATACATTTATTAATCATTCATGTACAGGGGGTAGTATAAACCACCCTGATGCCTTATAGATATTTATTTTAGGTCAAGACATTCTAAACTTACAAAAAATTAGGTTCTGATTGGTATTTCAAGCCTCATATATGGTACTTATAATTCAAAATATAAAAAAATTACACTCTTTAATTGCAGTCTTTAAAACACATACAATTGTGTTGTTATTTCTTTATAAATTCAAAATGACCACTATATGAGAATATTTAGGGTTAAGAATCATTCCTAATCTGAATCTATAGTATATACTTTTTAATGGCATGCAAATGTTAATATATAATGTCCACAATAAAAGAATGTTTAAATGTCAAAGAAGAAACACATTCACAGGCAAAAAAATATATATAGTTACCAAAATATTAGAGACAAAAAATGCCCCATACCATTTCAGAACCACATTTGCTGGAATGAACATTTCAGATGGACTTGGTGTCATCTGGGCCTGAGAGATAGCAAATGATGAAGCGAAATTGTAGAAGTTGTCCAACATCTTTTGTGTGAACTGAAAGTTAACAATGAATAGATTAGTGTATTACACTAAATACTCCATTTAGATCTCAATATTTTAAATACAATGCCCTGGCTGGTGTGACTCAGTGGACTGAGTGCTGGCCTGCAAACTGAAAGGTTGCCAGTTCAATCCCAGGCGAGGGCACATGGCTGGACTGCTGGCCAGGTCCCCAACTGGGGACAAGCAAAAGGCAACTATCAATATGTTTCTCTCCCTCTCTTTCTCCCTCCCTTCCCATCTCTCTAAAAATAAATAACTAAGAACTTTAAACTTAAGATATTCCTGCATTAACTCAGTTTTAAGGACTGAGTTCTAAGTTTAATGTTGGTTCTAAAGTTAAAAGAGGTCATAAAATGACATCATGGCAAAAATATAACAATCTGCCTTTAGTACATTCTTTGTTACCTAAAAGAATTTCTGTTACCAAATATTTTATGCTCCTAACATTCATTTTGGGGGAAAAAATGTTTTTCCTTCCAAATATCTTCTTTTATCCCCATCTCTATATCAATGATGATCATCTCCTCAAAAATCACCCTCCTCAAATCAACCTATTTTCTCATATAAAGCAGTAACCATGTCCAAAAAATTTTTTTCTTGTCCTGGTTGGTATGGCTCAGTGGATTGAGCGCTGGCCTGCAAAACAAAGGGTCGCCGATTCAATTCCCAGTATAGGGCACATGCCTAGGTTGCAGGCCAGGTCCCCAGTAGGGGGCGTGCAAGATGCAACCACACATTGATATTTCTGTCCCTCTTTTTCCCTAAAATAAATAAACAAAAATCTTTTAAAATCTTTTTAAAAAATCTTTATTTTTCCCTTCTCTAAAAATAAATAGATATCTTTTTAAAAAATAAAAAGAAAGAAAAATTTTTTTCTTGCCAGAAAGATAAAACAAAAAAAAAAAGGAGTAACTGGTTACTTGCCATCAACTGTGAAGAAAAGAAAGGTAACACTATTCTATTTCCTGGCCTGTTTCTTCTCATTGATCTTCAAATGGGCAAATCCACTAATATTCCTGACATCTGGTTTATGCACTAAGCCCAAAAGTAAATGAACTGCTAAAGATAATACTACCTTCAATTCACTCAAAAATAATCTTCCTAACACCACTTTCTCAGGAACACAAAACTAGCCAATAAGGCTCCTTCTGTCTCTTTTCTAACATGAGAGGAAATATCACATTAAGGGTTTTGTTTGTTTAATAATACCAAGGTAATTTAATCCAAGAGGATCTAGTATTAAGACACTTGAAATATTGGGTTGGCCAAAAAGTCCATTTAGTTTTTGCCGTAAGATAAAAGACACGTTTTTCATTTCCACCAATAACTATTTATTTGGATATTTTCAGTATGGCAGCCATCTCCCGTATGGTAGGACGCTGATTGTTCTCAGTGAATGTCTCAATTTGATCACTATCAACTTCGACTAGTCTACCCAAATGTAGAGCATCGTCCAGTGAGAAATCTCCAGCATGAAACTTTGCAAACCACTTCTGACAAGTTTGATTAGTCGTAACACCTTCTCCGTACACTGCACAAGTCTTTCTGAGTTTCAGCTGCGTTTTTCCTTTCTTGAAATGGTAAAGTATAATATGTCAAAAATGTTGCTTATATTCTTCCATCTTCAATATTAAAATGGCTGCACAAAAATTCACGGATTTTGATTTTTTTTAATGCACACTGATATGACCGCTGCCACAATACAATCTAACAAAATTGTTTCCAATGAAGTGAAAGACAACTAAGCAATACTCAAGCCATCTTACTAAAAAACCAAAATTTGTGGCCAACCCAATAATATCAGAGTTCAGTAAGAGCACAAAAGGATCAGTATAAGCAAGGGGGGTGGGGGCATCAACAGCAACTCTACACACTAGCAACAAAAAAATTTTATACATTAACTTTAAAAGATCCAATTAAGAATAAAACAAAATTTTTAAAATACCTAAGGGGGAAAAAAAGATTAAAACAAGCTGATAAAACTTGTGGAAAATATTCTAATACTCTCTTGAAAAGAAAACAAATGAAAGGACCTAAATACAATGTTCAGTGGAAGGATAAAACATGTTCATAGGTAGGGAGGCTTAATGTGTTAATGGTAGCAATTCTCCCTAAACCTATAAATCCAATGTTATTTCGAACTAAATTCCAAGGTTTTTCATGGAACTCAATATCATGTTGTTAAAATTATTGTGAAGAATACCTAAGCCTATTTTGATAATTAGGAGAAGGGGCTTAGCCTATCAAGCCTTAAGACTTTTACTGGCAAAGGGACAGGCAAATAAACTAATTGGAATAAAAGAGAGAGCCAAGAAACAAACCTAAGCATTTGTGACAACATGATATACAGGGTCCAGCAGGAAGTAACGTCTGCTTCAGTGTGGTTGGTAGGGTAAATAATATGGGTATAAAAATTTATAGGTTTTATCTGATCATTTCACCTAAAATGTCATATGGTGTGCTTGAGTGTGATATTGCTATGTTACAGAATTACATGCTTATGATTTTGTAATAAAAAATGGGCATTATTTATACCAGACCCTGTATAACAAAGATGCTATTACTTAGAGTAAAAAAATAAAATAATTGGACTAGCCATTTAATTAATGGGACTAGGACAACTAGTTTTCCATAGAGGAAAATGAATTTAGATACGGGCCCACACCATGCATGAATGCAATTCAAAAGGTAGCTCAATAATGCTTTAAGAACTATAAGAGAACATAGCAATAACATCTTCACATATCAAGGTAGGAAAAAAATTTCTCAAATACAACAAAAATCACAAATTGTAAAGGAAACAACTTACAAATCTGCATAAAAATATATTAGGTCTGTATGCAAAAGATACTATACACTATATTAAATGACAAGGAACATGCTAGAAGAAATTTGCAACATATGTAACAAGATTATTATCCTGAACACATAAAGTCCAAAAAGATACACTAAGTGCCCCCCAAAAAAACACACAATAGAAAACTGGGCAAAATATATAAACAATCAATTCCTATTAAAAAAAATAAAAATATGGACCAGAATATGAAAAGAAGCTCAACTTTACTAGTTGTGAAGAATTACATACCAAAACAATGGTTATATTCTAATTTCACCCATCAGTTGGGCAAAAATTTGAGGTCTAATAAATATTACTGAAAATGTATAAACATCTATCAGTATGGAAATTAAGAAACCAACTATGGCCCTGACTGGTGTGGCTCAGTTGGTTTGAGTGTCATCCCTCAGACAGAAGTGTGGCTAGTTCAATTCTACGACAGGGCACATGCCTGGGTTGGGGGTTCGATCCCTGTTTGGGGCGTGTATGAGAGGCAACCGATCAATGTTTCTCTGACAACATCGATGTTTCTCTCACTCTCCGTCTCCCTCCCTTCCTCTCTGTCTAAAAATAAATTAAAAACAAACAAACCAACCAAGCAACCTATGGCTCATTCATACAATGGCATACTATACAAGTAAAACAAACCGTATGTCTGCCATGTATCAACACAGATAAATCTTTAAAATAATGTTAATATTGAGTGAACAATAGCAAGTTGTAGAAGTCTGTGCAGTTTAACATTTAACATTTAACATTAATATATGTTTAACATATATTAACAAAACATATAAAAGAGTAAATGAGAGGAACCAGAGAACAAAGGATTCAACATAGAAAAGAAATAGAAGGAATTTCTACAGTGACGGTAAAAGAGAATAATACCTTGAAACAGCGGTGCAACAAATAATCGGTCAACAGCAGAACAAAAAAAGAAAAAAAAAATATTTCCAAAGAAGATGCTTTGGAAAGACAAATTTTAAATTGCTATGTTTAAATATGCTGAATGGGAATTTACACTTGGCAGAGTTTGGGCATAAAGTAGAAATGAAAATAGAAATCCATGCAAAAGTGATCCTTTTAAAATTTAAGTTAGATTACATTTCTCTTTTGCTCAAAACTCTCTTTCTTATGTTTTCTCCTCCAAACAGAATATAAGCCAAAGTCCTTAAAAAAAGCAATGAGGTCCCATATGATTTATCGTGCAGCTACCTCCCCCATAATCTCCAACCACATCTCCCATGACTCTCCCTTGCTCATATTACTCCAGCCACAAGGACCTACATGTTATTTCTCAAACATAACAGAATTCTACCGCAGGATTTGTGTACTAGCTATACCTTTGCCTAGAACCTACTCTCCTTCTCAGGCTTTTGCCATACAGAGGTTAAAAGTCAACTCTTACAGGATTATATCCCTTTAAGTTCCATGAGGACAAGGATCTTGCTTATCAGGTTCACAGCTGTATACCCACTATCTAACATACTAATTGTGGGAGGGGAAAAAGAAAAACTTATAATTAAACCCACATTTATCACTATAAAAACATAAGTCTCAGATATCCAGCCAAGATGGAGGCATATGTAGATACACTTTGCTTCCTTGCACAACCAAAAGAAGGACAACACATTTAAAAACAAAAAACAACCAGAACTGCCAGAAAACTGCACTGTATGGAAGTCCAACAACCAAGGAGTTAAAGAACAAACATTCATCCAGACTGAGCCACAAGGCAGAGATGTGAGTTGTCCCACCCTGACGAATACCTAAGGCTCTGCCCTTTCCAATGTAACAGCTGCACCAAGACAAAGAAATGTGGCCCAAATGAAAGAACGGATCAAAGCTCCAAAAATAGAACTAAGTGACAGAGAGATAGCCAACCTATCAGATACACAGTTCAAAACACTGGTAATCCAGATGCTCACAGAAATGGTTGAATATGGTTGCAAAATGGAGGAAAAAATGAAGGCTATGCAAAGCGAAATAAAAATATACAGAGAACCAAAGTAAATATACAGAGAACCTATACAGTAAAGGGAAGGAAACCAGGACTCAAATCAACGATTGGGAGCAGAAGGAAGAAATAAACATTCAACCAGAACAGAATGAAGAAACAAGAATTCAAAAAAATGAGGAGAGGCTTAGGAACCTCAAGGACAACTTTAAATGTTCCAACATCTAAATCATAGGGGTGCCAGAAGGAGAAGAGGAAAAGCAAGAAATGGAAAACTTATTTGAGAAAATAATGAAGGAAAATTTCCCCAATGTGGTGAAGGAAATACACTTCCAGGAAATCCAGGAAGCTCAGAGAGTCCCAAAGAAGTTGGACCCAAGGAAGCACACACCAAGGTACATCATAATTACATTACCCAAGATTAAAGATAAGGAGAGAATCTTAAAAGCAGCAAGAGAAAAGGAGACAGTTACCTACAAAGGAGTTCCCATAAGACTATCAGGTGATTTCTTAAAAGAAACCTTACAGGCAAGAAGTGGTTGGAAAGAAGTATTGGAAGCCATGAAAGGCAAGGACCTACATCCAAGATTACTCTCTCCAGAAAAGCTATCATTTAGAAAGGAAAGGTAGAAAAAGTGCTTCCCAGGTAAGGTAAAGTTAAAAGAGTTCATCATCACCACGCCCTTATTATATGAAATGTTAAAGGGACTTATCTAAGAAACAGATCAAAACTATAAACAGTAAAATGACAACAAACTCACAACTATCAACAACTGAATGAAGTGGAGGGAAAAAACAGGACAATTGTAATAGCATAATCAATAAAATATACTTAAAAAAATATAAGTCTCATGAAAGCACTTACAAATTTTAAAATACCTATAGAGAAAGCAGACAAGCTGAAAATGTCCATGGAATCCAGTAACTTATGTCATATACAGGGTGGGGCAAAATTAGGTTTATAGCTATGAGTACACAAAACAGTTTCTCTTGTATTATTCTTTATTAATTATTGTAATATATTTTCCAAACAAACAACTATAAACCTACTTTTGCCCCACCTTGTATGTTGGCCCGTATTTTCACACGTTTTCTACCACCAGGCCAATTTTTAATGCACATAATTATTTAATTATTTTAGAAAATAATAAAACGTGAATTGAATTACCTGAGTGAATGAGTCAACTGAGGATACAGCAGCATTACCTACAGGAGTCTGCTGAGCCAGACTGTCCAATAATTCCACTGAAATTCCAATCTGAGCAACAGATGGAGTCCGGACAATATTCATGGCTCCAAAAGGGTGTTGGCTTCCTTCTCCTGAAAAAAATTAACATGTGCCACATATTTCAAGTTTAACTTGTATTCCACACAAATTGCTTTGTAAATATGTAAAGACTCTCTCATCTATGTCTCAAAACAGTTCTGCTACAAGAAAACTTGTCTCTTCAGATAAATGTAAAAGCTACCTAGTTTTTACCCAATTAACACAGAGTAAGAAAACTAAAATTTTCCCTACCAGAAAAAAGCTGTTACCTTTCTAAAGCATTAAAATGACTGCATCTTATTAAAAAACTTATCTAATGAACAAAATAAACTGAGAAACAAAACAGAAACAGAGGCAGGTATACATGGAACGGACTGACAGCTGTCAGAGAAGAGCAGGGAGAGGGGGTACGGGATGAGAGGAGGTAAAGGGATTAGCCAACAAGAACATGGACACAGAAAACAGTGTGGGGATGGCCAGAGGGAAGGTCAGTGGCGGGGGGTGGGGGGTGGGGGCAGGGGTTGGGTGCAGGTGGGCAAAGTGGGTGAAATGATGACATCTGTAATAGTGTCAACAGTAAAAATAAAATTTAAAAAAATGTTAACAATTTTTAGTGGCGGGGGAAAAATATTATGATTAAATTTCCATTAGAAATAAACAGAATTAGAGAGAAATAAATGAAAGAGCATTAACTAGATTAAAGATCCTCAATGCTAACTCTGAGGGAATATTTTTTAAGAGCTTTGGAATTAGCTTTAACATTTTCTGATTATTCCACTAAAGATCTTTACATTCCATTACTAATAAACAACATGGCATATTTTACTAAATGTCATGGATCACTCCCCCTTAACGCCTGATGATCTGGAATCAGATAGGCAATAAAGAAATTTGCCACTTATTCACAAAACATATTTAATAGCCTTCCCCTTTATATTTGATATTTTATCCTTTAAAATATATCAAGGATACATCTGATCCTGTAAGTGCCAGCTAACTTACACATAAAAAATATAGGTCAATTTTATTAATCCACATAAGACATAATCAGAAAAGTTGGCCAGATGATAGGGAAAAAAAATCATACAATAAATAGATTCTGGGATTATCTGCTATTTCTTACTGACTATAAAATAATTAAATAATTAATAATAAAATCTGGGACAATACACATTACTAATAACTAGAACTCATTCCAACAATCAAAACTCTTCTTAAGTTTCCAAGCACAGGAATAAAAATTTATTAATGTATTTACCGTGCTTACAAACTACACAAACACATTATCACTCACTAAGACTAGCTTAGATATTCTCAGTATTTTTAGACTGTTGAAATTTCCACGCATTTGTGAATTTTCCCAGATTTAATTCAATTATTTCGCATTTCTATCGATGTGGTTGGACACATACTTTGTAAGATTTCAGTATTTTAAACTACACTGACACTTGTTTTGTGGCCTAATACATGGTCTATACAAAAAAAGGTTCCATGTGCATTTAAAATGTGTATTCTGCTATTGTTAGGTAGAATATTCTATATAAGTCTGTTAGGTCTAGTCGGCTTATAGAGTTGTGTAAGTCTTCTATTTCCCTAATAATCTTCTATCTAATTGTTCTATTCTTTATTGAAAGTAGGGTATTGAAGTTTCCAACTATTATTGCTGAACTATCTTTCTTCCTTCAATTCTGTCAGTTTCTGCTTTATTTATTTTGAGGCTCTGTTGTTAGGTGCACAAAAGTTTGTAATTATTTTTTTTCTGTGGACTGACCCTTCTATCATTATACAATGTCCTTGTATCTCCCATAACAATGTTTGTATTAAGTCTATTTAGGCTTATTTTACTACTGCCACTCCAGCTCCCTTTTGGTTTCTGTTTGCATATATATATATTTTTTTAATCCTTTACTTTCAACAATTTGTACCCTTGCATCAATAGTCAGATCATCTTATGTTATCCATTCTACAAATATCTGCCTTTTAATTGGTAAATTTAATTTTACATTAAACAGAAACTTGCTAGTGTACCACTTTTTTATTATGTATTTTCTGTTGTTTTCTTAGTGTCTGCACTGGAAATTACAATTAACATCTTAACTTATAACAACCTAGTTTAGATTAACACCAATTTACGTTCAATAGTATACAACCATGCTGCTCCTATGTAACTCTTCTTCCTTGTTATTGTCACAAATTACACATTTATATATAATATGTCAATAAACATAGACTTATAGTTTTTGTTTTATGCAGTTGTCTTTTATATCAGGAAAAAAGAGAAATTATTAACACAAAATGTACAGTACTTTTATAATTACCTAGTTACCTTTACCTGTGTTTTCTCAATGTGAATTTGAATTACTGTTTCATATCCTCGCATTTCAGCCTGACATTCTCTTTTAGCATTTCTTGTAGGCAGAGATCTTCTAGCACAAATTTCTGGTAAGAAATCAGCTATACTCTGAAGGATCCTTTTATGTAATGAGTTGCTTCTCTAGCTGCTGTCAGGATGCTCTCTTTGTCTTGGGCAGTATGATTACATGTCTTCATGTGGAGTTTACCCTACTTCTAGTTCATTGAGCCTCTTAAGTATGTAAATTAATGTTCACCAAACTTAGAATAAGTGTGAGGGCATTATTTCTTCAATATTCTTTCCACCTCTTCTGTTTTCTCTCCTTCTGGGACTCCCAGTATACATATGTTGGTACACTTGATGGCATCTCATAGGTTCTCAAAGCTCTGTTCATTTTCTTTTATTCTTTTTTCTTTGTGCTCTTCAAACTAGATATTTCACTTGGCCTGTTTTCACTGATTCTTTCCTCTGTCTACTCACATCTGCTATTAAAACACTCTAGTGAATTTTTCAGTTATATACTTTTCAGGTATATAATTTCCATTTAGTTCCTTTTTATAATTTCCCTATTGATATTCCCTATTTGATGATACATCATTCTCCTAGTTTCCTTTAGCTGAGTATATCTGAGAGAGTTTACTTTATTAAAGTCTTTGTCTATTGAATCCAATGTCTCTGCTTCCTAGGGACAGTTTCTTTTCATTTCTTCTGTGAGATGGCCTTTCTTTGTTTCTTGCACACTTTTTGTTGAAAACTGAGTATTGAATATTATAATGTGGCAACTCCAGCAATCACATTTTCCCTTCTTCAGGGTTTATTGTTACTGTTTGCTGTAGCTGTTTCTTGTTTAATGACTTTTCTGAATACTGTGAAGTCTGTATTTTTTTATTATGTGTGACCACTTAAGTCTGTTTTATTAGCTTACTGGTCAGCTAGTGATTGGAAAGAAATTTCTTTAAAAGCCTGGAACAAAAAAATCCTCCCAGTCTTTGCAGGTGGGCCCTGCGTGTTCAGACATGCCTTCAGTACTCAGGCAGGCAGTTCACTCCTGCTTACGCTGAACCTCCATGTCAGCCACAGGTGAGATCACAGGACTTTCTCAGTTCTTTCCCAAGCACATGCACAGCTCTGGTCAAGTGTGAGGTCCTTTTAGATTCCCAGGTCAGAATACTTCAAAGTCCTTATTCCCTTTCCTCCCAACCTTTTTGGTTAGTGTATTTTTTTTTTCCTTAACTGCTGTCACTTTCTCAGGCAGCATTTGCTTGTAAATATTTTTGACACACACTCCTATGGTAGTCACTTTAGCACAGGAAGAGTTTCAAGTTAGGTGAGATAAAGGCCAATCTTTTGTATAAGTTTTCCAGGGAGCCACCAGACAGAGCAAATTAATTACAGTTCATTGTGGATAAAGTCCATTCTGCTCCCCCTATTTACCAGTACCAAGAACATGAGCTGTTGTTTACAAGGAGACCGTTAAGCTGAAGAGCAGGGGATGGGACTTAACCAGGGTAAGTTAAAATGCCATAAAGTTCACTATTTTAAGCAAGATTCAGTGGTTTCTCTGGACTAAATGTTCCCTTGGTTGTTACAATCTTTTGGTTAGTTTCCAAAGTCCTGAAAAAGTAGATTCCAACAGTTTTGGCCAGTTTTTGTTGTTGTTTTTACAGAGGGATGGATTTCTGGTGTTCCTTATTCTACCATTTTAATTGTTTTAAGTCCAGTTACGCTTAGTTCAGAAAACGCACTCCTATTTGTCTGCATAACAGAGTCCAATGATCTTAGCCAAGGGAAGTGGTTCAATACAACCTTCTATTGTCTTATAACTATATAAGGAGTGATCTGCCCGAACAGAGCGCCTTGTCATCTCCAACCACCATCTTTTATCACACACAAGCTCTTGGTAAATGAGTAAGGCTCCTAAAAGTAAAACTGGCTAAGACCCATTATAAAAGATGGAACTAAGAAAATACTCTGACTTCTTCACTTTAAAGCTCTCTGGAACTAAGACAACTTAAGAAGAAACAAATGACTCAAAAGTCTTCAGCAATCTTTATATTGTCAGAGATCCACTGTGCAATTATATCATTCCTTTAATGACTGTTTATTCTCAAAATGGGCTTGACACAACTGATACTCTCAAAGGTTCTTATTTGCAAATCATAAAACACTGGGAAGAAACTCTGGAATGTAATATACAAATTTACATGTTTAATTTTGGATCTGAATTCATGACAGCCAGAGTTTAAATAAATAAAAGAAACCACGTCAGATGATCAGTTATACTGAGTAGTATTGCCAAAAATTAAAAATTAGCTCTGGCTGCTGTGGCTCAGTGGATTGAGCATCAGCCTATGAAATGGAAGGTAGCTGGTTCGATTCACGGTCAGGGCACATGCCCGGGTTGTGGGCCAGGTCCCCACTTGGGGATGTGCAAGAGACACCCAGTCAATGCTTCTCTCACACATTGATGTTTCACTCCCTTTCTCCCTCCTTCCTTCTCTCTAAAAATAAATAAAATCTTAAAAAATAAAATTAAAATGTCTTTAAAAAACTAAAACAGCTGAGAAACTAAAACATGTGAGCTGGTCTTCAAATACAGAAAGGAAATAATACAGTAGATAAAGTCCTTAATAACATCATAATAGTAAAAGAAGAAGCAAATTTTTTAGGGCTGTTTCTCAAAGTGTCTTTCCTCAATGA